CATTGGGGCACATGGCGCTGGAAATACAGTGGCCAGTTACAGACAATCAAAAACCTTGCAACTCTGGGCCACAGGTGTGTGGAGCAGCAGCTATAGTTGTGACAGGGTCTAGGGTGTGATTGGAGAATTCAAAGAGTCACCTTCATATAGCAATGCAGGGCTTGAAATACTGCTGTGATCAGAGAGCTGTCTGCTGCAGCTAAGAGCAGCTCTTGGTTTGTGCTGTCAGGTGAATGTAAAGTTATCAATGAAGGAACATATTTATTTAGCACAAGCTTTTCTTCTGTTCATGTGGAGAACAACACAACAGGTTCTCTAGGAGAGAGTAAAGCCATTCCTATCTGCTAATGATTCACTACCTGTGTGAAATGAATGGGCAGATCTAAGTGGCCCAAAAAGTGATGACCCCACATGTTTGTGTGTATAGTGGGAGTATCGAGAGGAGAGTGTTATCCAGAGGAAGAGACAAAAAAACTGAATCTAAATATCTCACTGTTTGGTTCTCCTGATGCCTCTTTTCTCCAGCTTTCAGTTCACTCACTGAATTGAAAAAAAAAAGACACAAAATGCACCTACCCTTCAGAAATACACCCCACACTTACAAATAATATCCCACTCACAGCTGCACAAGGGTCATATCACCTGCCTAGCCCCCCCTCAGTATAAAATTCTCTCTCATTCTTTCCTCCTCCTATTCAGGTTTTTTTCTTTTCTTCTTTCTCTCTCTCTCTCATATCATTTCCTGTCTCACACAGCTGTGCTCCCTGGTTGGCCAGTGGCTGGAAGTTCTGACTCAGGCTCAGGCTGTGTGTGTCTATGCAGCTGTCTCAGCCAGATCCCCAGCCAGATGAGCAGCTACCCAATGGTTCCCCATTTGCTCTTTATTCTTGGTCTGTCCCCCTTGGGTAAGTGAAAGCTTTTTAATTAAGCAAAAGCACATGACGGAGTCTATGGATCTCTTCATTTTTGGAGACAATAGAGATGTGACAGACCATCTTTAACATTGCTCCCATCCCTAGCCCCTGCGGGGTGATTTCCAGTGTTATATTCTCCAACACTTTCTACCGTGAGATTATAAAATGAAGGCAGCAATAAGGCTTCCACCCCTTTCCATGCAGAGATCGCACTCACCTTTGGGAATGTTTCCTGATCACGAGCTGGAAATTCCCCCATTTCTCCAATATAATCCCATGAAACTCTCATCTCATTTTATTTCTGTTTCCTCACAGGATGGGCCGTCCTTCAGTCCCCAGACATGGTGGTCAGTCAGGGACAGACACTAGCACTGAACTGCTCCCAAAAATCAACCAGTTTCACCTACATGTACTGGTACAAACAGGCCATGGGAATGGACACAAGGCTGCAGCTGATTGTGTTTTCTACGGAAGGCTCCAGTGAAAATATTGAGAAGCCATTTAAAAGTCACTTCCAGAGCAGTAGGACAAAAAACAATGTCCTGTCTCTGTCTGCAGAGAGTGCCCAGGTGCAAGACTCAGGTACATATTACTGTGCTAAGCAAGATCACACAGTGACTCAACTGCCAAAAGTGCTTAGCATAAACCTCCCAGCAAAGGGAAAGAACTTCCCTTCCCCCACACCCATGCACAGCCCTGCCTCCTGCATAAGCTGCACTCCATCTTGCTCTAACACCTCCCTCCCCTGTCCCTATGTATCCTCCTCTCCATTCCCTATCTTCTCTTCTGCCCAGGGCCGGCTCCCGCTTTTTTGCCACCCCAAGCAGGAAAGGAAAAAAATAAAAACGATTGCATTGCCGCCGAAGTGCCGCCGAAGAGCAAGAGAGGGTTGAAGGACCCGCCGTCGAATTGCCGCCAAAGACTGAAGCGAAGCGACTGAATTGAAGGACCCGCTGCCAAATTGCCGCCGCAGACCCGGACGTGCCGCCACTTTCTATTGGCTGCCCTAGGCACCTGTTTCCTTCGCTGGTGCCTGGAGCCGGCCCCGATTCTTCCTCTCTCCTCCTCTTTTTTTGAACCTTTCCTTGTTCCTTCTTCTCTCCTACTAGGGCTATGTCTACATTATAGCTTATGTCAGAGTAACTTATGTCTCTCAGGGGGCTGAGTAAATCACCGCTCTGAGCAACGTAAGTTATACTGTCGTAAGTGCCGGCGTGGACAACCACTCTACACTACGAGAGTATTTCGATTGTACTTAAATCGAATATGTGGAATCGATATTACAAAATCGAACGTGTGTATCCACACTAAGGACAGTAATTCGACTTTGTGAGTCCACACTAACGGGGCAAGCGTCGACATTGGAAGCGGTGCACTGTGGGCAGCTATCCCACAGTTCCCGCAGTCTCCGCTGCCCATTGGAATTCTGAGTCAAGCCCCCAGTGCCTGCTGGGGAAAAAAATGTGTCAAGGGTGGTTTTGCGTAACTGTCATCATCCAACCGTCACTCCCGCCCTCCCTCCCTGAAAGCGCCAGCGGGCAATCAGTTCCTGCACTTTTCTGGTGAGTGACAGCGCGGACGCCACAGCACTGCGAGCATGGAGCCCGCTGTGACCATCGCTGCAGTTATGGCCGTTGTCAACACCTCACAGCTTTTCATCCACCTTTTCCAGAGGCAAATGCTGAGAAATCGGGAGAGGAGGCTACGGCAGCGCGCTGAGGACATGAATTCTGAGAGTGGCACAGTACTCTCGCAAAGCACGGGACCCCGCGCAGTGAACTTCATGATCATAATGGGTCATGTTGATGCTGTGGAACGGCAATTCTGGGCCCGGGAAACAAGCACGGACTGGTGGGACCGAATAGTGCTGCAGGTCTGGGATGAATTACAGTGGCTGCGAAACTTTCGGATACGGAAGGGAACTTTCCTGGAACTTTGTGAGTTGCTGTCCCCTGCCCTGAAGCGCAAGGACACCTGTATGCGAGCAGCCCTGACTGTCCAGAAGCGAGTGGCCATAGCCCTCTGGAAGCTTGCAATGCCAGACAGCTACCGGTCAGTCACGAATCACTTTGGTGTCGGGAAATCTACCGTGGGGGTTGCTGTGATGCAAGTAGCCAACACAGTTGTTGAGCTACTGCTGTCAAAGGTAGTGACCCTGGGAAACGTCCAGGTCATCATAAATGGCTTCGCCGCGATGGGATTCCCAAACTGCGGTGGGGCTATAGATGGAATTCACATCCCTATCCTGGGACCGGACCACCAGGCCAGCCAGTACATTAACCAAAAGGGCTACTTTTCAATGATGCTGCAAGCACTGGTGGACCATAGGGGACATTTTACCAACATCAACGTGGGATGGCCGGGCAAGGTTCATGACACTCGTGTTTTCAGGAACTCTGGTCTGTTTAGACGGCTGCAGGAAGGTATTTACTTCCTGGACCAGAAAATAACTGTTGGGGA